AGAGAGAGAGAGAGAGAGAGAGAGAGAGAGAGAGAGAGAGAGAGAGAGAGAGAGGAAAGAAAGAAAAAAGAAGCATCGCAGGCCAATAAATCATACAAACGTTAAAGTTATAATAATAATGATTAGCACTCACTCACATCCACAATAAAAAGGAACCGCACAGGAGGAACAGGAAAGCAGAGAGAGGCTAAGAACGGACGAAGAGGAGAGAAGAGGGAGTAGAAGGAAGAGGGAACAGAGAAGCGGCGAGGAATCGAAATGAGAGAGACGGAAAGAAGCGCACACGAGACAAGATAAGAGAGGAGAAGAGAACAGAGGGAAGTGGCACAGGTAAGAGCTGGGTTTGTGGATGAGATTGAGTTAGGGGAGTACTTCACCATTATTAGTGCCGATCGGTCACATCCAAAGTGCTTCTCGAGCGACTCATATCCTCCTGCCGGCTTTTTTGCCTCTGCAAGAAAGAAGCAACACAGGTGCGGACAACAGCAGATAAAAAAAAGGCCACCGGCGCATCCATCCAACGGGAGGGGGTTATCAAACCTGCAGATATGAAAAGCAAGACCAGGAATAATTGTCCTTCTGCCCTCTGAAATGATCACACAAGCAAAACTTATTCACATCAGTTGGATGACAGGTAGTTCCGAAAAAAATTAGCAGACACACAAGAGGCAATATGCACTTTGCCTACATTGCTTTCGTATCCCGCTTAAACCATTAGTGCCTTTGCCGCTTGGGAAAATAGCAGGCCTCGCGTAGGCGTCCGACCTTTTCAGAGGCTGAAACGAAATGACGGCTGCCGATCAGATTTATCAATGGCAGTCGTCGTCGGGCCCGACCTCCGAATATTCAGGAGTTTGGAAAAACTGCCAGTTTTCCCTATTTTCCTACGCGGGAAAGGTACTAGCGACCCTTTCACCAGCGCAAGAGTTGTAACAGTTGAAATCAATCAATTGATCCAGGTTAAAGTTTGCTTTCTGCTATTGCACAACAACAAAAAAAAACAATCACTGAACAAATCGATAGTCAACTGGCTAACTAACTTTTGTCAAAATTTTACTCTTAAGAGTTTCTCTTAGCAAGTCGCTCGAGTTAATTCACCATTTCTCTATATCTTTGTGACTGTTTTGGGTGGGGTAGCGTTGAAAATAGATCAGGCAAGCAAGCAGGAGAGAGAGAGAGAGAGAGTCACGGGCAAGAGAGAGAGAGAGAGAGAGAGGAGTCACGGGCAATGGCCCTCGATGAGGTTGTTCCAGACCCAGTCTCATTGGGGACCCTGGGGTGGTTCAGAAGCAAGGAAAAGCGAGAGGGGGGGGGGGGGGGGGGGGGGGGGAGAGAGACGAGAAAGTAGATTGTCAAATACTCAGACACTTCCAGAGACTAGGCTAGCAATTGCCCCTCGGGTTGTGAATACAACATAGCTTGCACTTCTCAACGAACAAATTAGGACTCTCAGGAGTCTACCGCCTGGCCGCACCACTCACCAAACTCTTATTTTGGTGAGGTTGGTGTCGCTGCACCACCTCACCGAAACTCTTTTTTTTTCCCTTCTAATCAGACATTTCACTCGAACTCTTTTTTTTTTCTAATCAGACATTTTACTTCAAAATCGTAAAGCCGAATCCGTGAGGACCCACCGCCAAAACTGCCACCCCAGGCGGGGATTTTGTGGAGTCCTCTGCGCGACCCACCAAAACGGTGAGCAGGAGACACGTTCAGACCAGCGGTCGGCACCAACTTTTCATTTTCTTCCGTTATGTTCAGCCGACCGGTCAGGACTCGACCCCGTAACAAGAGTAAAAGAAAAGACGAGAAAGAAAAGAAGAAAAAGAAAAGAGAATTAGGTGATATATATATTTTGACCTTATATCACACATTGAATCAAGTTTTTTTTTTTTTGTTTTTCTTTGGGGGGGAAAATAAGTTTTTCTTCTCCCCCTCCTCTCAAAGATCAGATATCCATTGCGACTTCAATCATAGAGGCCGGGGTCCTCAACACTACGTCCCGGACACTGAATCAAGTCAGGATACAGCACTTCAAGGTTCTTATATTACTCAATCACAATAAACAACCAGCAAAAAAAAGAAAAAAGGGAAGGCCACTCTGCGCTTGAGAAGGCCACCCTGTCAGATTGGGTATTGAAATTGACTTTACGTCGGCTGGTTAGTCCGACGATAAGATCTCATGGCCAACGCCATTTTTTTTTCTTTAAAAAAAAAAAAAAAACGACAGTTGCGGTCCTCGGTATCAACCTTGGACTTCGCTGCTGATCCTGCTGACCGACTCATCGTCGGGCCTCGCTCCACTGCACAACACTATACATGAATCTGGAGCTGGTAACGTTCCCAATGCATTCAAAATGTTCGGGCAAGTTCAAACGAATATCGACCACGATCTAGTCCAGGTACATGGGCAATGTTGAGTCGTCGAGCACGGCTGATTCTTCCATCTTCGACATCCACGACTACCGTCTTCCCCCCGAACATAACGCACCCTCATTTTGCCTGTACCGGACCGGCAATATAGCTTCTATACATTCATTTTTAGGGTGCGTTATGTTCGGGTGAAGACGGTAGCAGATGTGCTATATGACCAAGTGCACGACTTGCAGATGCGCTAGATGACGAGATGATCGAGCGGGTCAATGCACTGGCCGCTGGTAACGGTCTCAATGCATTCAAAATGTTTGGGCAAGTTCAAACGAATATCGACCACGATCTAGTCCAGATACATGACCTGATCGAGCGGGTCAATGCACTGACCGTCGTCCAAGAAAGACTCAGCCGCGAGGCGATCGTAAGAGAGCTTCCGCTCTTCAAAAAAACAAAAAAAACGGCAACCGGTGAACCCTATGGAAAAGTTCATCAGATCCAATGTACAACAAACAGATGACCAGGAAAAAAAAAAAAAAAAAAAAAAAAGAGAAAAGGTTTTCAATTTCAAACCTGACCTCCCAACTGCACTTTCCACGAAAAAGACTACACTCTTTCACCCGAGTACAACGTACCGAAACGACTTCCTTTTCCTTCCAACTAAAGGAAACAAAAAGCAAAACGAGCATAGGTCCAAAACAAACAAACAAACAAACAAACAAACAAACAAACAAACAAACATAGGAGATGGTTTACGCCTTACCGTGTCGTAGAACGGGGACTCCTAGCTCGTCTTCCACAGCTTTGGCTTCGACTCCATGAGGGTCAAATTGAATCAATCCTGGGTCCAAAAACAGGTAGTTCGATCTACGATTTCACCAAGAAGCACTTTAAGTCAAAACAACCGTATCATCATACACAACAACCATAGCAAGTAGACAGCAACCAAACCGAAGAGCGGTGGTATTCTAAGACGGGAGGAGGAGGAAGAAGAGGATGGGGAGAAGGAGGAGGAAGAAGAGGGAGGAGGAGGAAGAGGAAGCAGAAGAGGCGGAGGGAGAAGGAAGCAAAGGAGGCAGGAGGAGGAGAAAGAACAACAGGGGGAGGAGGGAGGAGGGGAAGGAGGAGAAGGAGGAGGAGGAGGAGGAGGAAACGAAAATCTCCAGAAGCGAAGCATTTAATCCACATTATATAATCACTATCTAATCCTGAATCATGATTTTCACCAAAATTAAACCTATTGAATACCCTCACCAAACATAATCATACTCAACTATCAATCTTCGCTGATCATTATTCACTACCATCATTATGATCATCGGTATTCATCATCATCAATAATCATCGTAATCATCGTAATCATCATCAGACTGCTAAAAAAAAAACAAAAAAAACAACGACTACTGCTATCAGCCGTAGCAGTTCAATAATCGCTTTCCGTACACCCTTTATTTGTGAAGTGTGAAGCAGTAAGAACGAATGAGCAATCAGAATCGTCCTCCGTGGGAAACAACACCATCTCCAGTTTAGCATCCAATTCGATCATTGATTGTTTTTTTTTTTTTTTGAAATGTACGACAGGGTTGCCATTTGATGACCTTCGCCAGTTAGCAGGACGGACCAAGCAGCGGCCCGCTACCAAATTCGAAAGTTTTGACCTTTTGTTTGTCCCTCTACTTGGTGACTGTGCGCACGCTTCCACGGGGAATGCATTTGGCAGTGTGGCACATTGGGGGTCTGAGCCCTCCAGCTGCTGATTTCCTTAGGAGATACGAAGGCCGACGGGCTCAGACCCCCAATGTATGAGGCATGTGGCACATTGCAAACCTCCACCCGATTTGAGACAAGCTAACCGTCTCTCTCGCTCTCTCTCTCTCTCTCTCTCTCTCTCTCTCTCTCTCTCTCTCTC